CTCCCACGCGTAGCGCTGAAGCTTTGACATTTAATTAATTATAAGGAAAGGAGACGATTCTTTGTACCATTCTCGACTCTTAATCCTTGTCTGAATTAAGTTCCCGTCCCCCCCCCCTCCAGCGCGTAGCGCGGAAGCTTTGACGTTAATTAAATTATATGGAAAAGGAGACGATTCTTTGTACCATTCTCGACTCTTAATCCTTGTCTGAATTGAGTTCCCGTCCCCCCCCCCCCTCCCGCGCGTAGCGCGGAAGCTTTGACGTTTAAATAAATTATAAAGAAAAGGAGACGATTCTTTGTACCATTCTCGACTCTTAATCCTTGTCTGAATTGAGTTCCCGTCCCCCCCCCCCTCCAGCGCGTAGCGCGGAAGCTTTGACGTTTAATTAAATTATATGGAAAAGGAGACGATTCTTTGTACCATTCTCGACTCTTAATCCTTGTCTGAATTGAGTTCCCGTCCCCTCCCCCTCCCGCGCGTAGCGCGGAAGCTTTGACGTTTAATTAAATTATTAGAGAAAGAAGATGATTCTTTGTACCATTCTCGACTCTTAATCCTTGTCTGAATTAAGTTCCCGTCCCCCCCCCCCTCCAGCGCGTAGCGCTGAAGCTTTGACGATTAATTAAATTATATGGAAAAGGAGACGATTCTTTGTACCATTCTCGACTCTTAATCCTTGTCTAATTGAGTTCCCGTCCCCCCCCCCCCTCCCGCGCGTAGCGCGGAAGCTTTGACGTTTAATTAAATTATTAGAGAAAGAAGATGATTCTTTGTACCATTCTCGACTCTTAATCCTTGTCTGAATTAAGTTTTCCCTTGCCCGTGTGATGCGCGGAAGCTTTGACGTTTCATTAGTTTATTAGAGAAAGAAAACGATTCGTTGTACCGTTCTCGACTCTTAATCCTTGTCTGAATTGAGTTCCCCCCCCCCCCCTCCCCTCCCGAGCGAAGCGCGGAAACGTTGACGTTTCATTAAATTATTTGCGAAAGAAGATGATTCGTTTTACCATTCTCGACTCCCAATCCTTGTCTGAATTCAGTTGCCCCCTCCCGAGCGATGCGCGGAAGCTTTGACATTTCATTAAATTATTGGAGAAAGAAGACGATTCGTTGTACCGTTCTCTATTACACCTACCATGGATAAATCACGGCCGGGAGCGTCATAATTTTGTGCTATCGGGCGAGGGCCGGGGCCGGGGCGTAGCGACCAAGCGAGATTTTGCAATGTTGAATGCTGAAATAATTTATTATGCATTCTAAAAAATCCCTAAGCCCGATATGTACGTTCTTTCCGCTATATTTATTTCTAGCTATTTACTAAATTTCCTGGGAGACTTGTCCCCATATCGGGCCCAGGATCGCCGCCCTTGTCCATGATTACTACCAACATGAGTTCTAATACAATCACAAGCGAGTCAATACGAGCTGAATCCAAATGAAGGGCAAAATAAGAGTTGTGAAGCGGCCCTACCGTTAATTTAAAATTTGACTGTTGAGTATATAACTTCTATTTAAAAGACATCCAAAATATTGTGCCCTTTTCAAATTTCTCACTAAAGAGTGATGACCGCAGGGGCTGTACTTAACGTTTAACTTTGAATCCGCGGCTCGAGATTTTATGCGGCCGGCCCGGCCCCCCTCTATTCAATAACGTTTGCCAATGAGCTTCTGGAATGTCCCCTAATCTCCGGATTACAGTTTCCCATATTTGTCGTTACTGTCACTTAGCGCCATTTCCTTGCCTTTCCCCCTTTCTCACCGACTTTTCTTTTCCCCACCCCCCCCCTCACCCTCTCAGTGTTATCTAGGGTACGCACATGTATGTTCCCTCTCTTTGAAAGCACCCCTCTGTCTCCGGTGTGTAAAGTCAGTACGGGCCGGATTTTTGTGTATTGCGGGCCGGACTTTGTTTCGTGAAAAGTAACTCTTTATCGGAAATTTAGGGAACACAAATTCGGTCCTCCGACCCCGGAGTTGAAGGGAGGGGGGGGGGGGGGGGCCTTTTTATTTATCTTTTCTCTTCTATTTTCTTTTCTCTTTTTTTCCTTTCTCTTCTCCTTTCTTTCTCTTCTCCTTTTTTTCTCCTCTTCTCCTTTCTTTTTTTCTCTTCTTTTCTTCCTCTTTTTTTTCTTCCCTTTTTTTGCGCCGCCAATAGGGGGGGGGGGGGGGGCCGCGGCCGTTTCGGCCCCCTGGATCCGTCACTGCATGGTGCACCCGCAAGCCTACTGTATACTATTTCGTGATTATGATTATGATTATGATTATGATTATCATTATTATTATCATCATAGTCATTATTATCCTTGCTATTATCATTACTTTTATAATTAGCAGTAGTATAGTAGTAGTAGTTTTAGTAATAGAAGTAATAGTAGTGGTAGTAGTAGTGTATATAGTAGCAATTAGCAGCAGCAGCAGTCGTAGTCGTATTATCATCATCATCATGATCCATATATTGATTTTCTTACTTGTTTTGGTCATCAGCCTTCGGTGGTGACGGGAATAGGGTAACTATATTCGGTGAAAGTGCCGGGGCTGCAAGCGTGGATTTTCTCCTGCTTTCTAAGTTGAGTCGAGGGCTCTTCAGTCAAGCCATAATGCAGGTTAGTGTGTCACATTTCGGGCTAAAGATTCCTTAAAGGTGCTAACCCTTATATCTCAGTCAAACCAAGGAAACTGACACCAGACCAACAACAGATCGATAACAGGGTTAGTCATTTGGCAGTGATACCTGCTACCTCAGTCACTCCGCCAAATCGACTCCAGACCAATTCTAAACCGACAGAGTCTTGCCTTGATTTCCGGAGCAAAAATACATTTCTTGTTCATGCAGTCTGTTGTCGGTCTATTGTTGGTCTGCTGTCGGTCTGTTGTCGGTCTGCTGTCGGCCTGTTATCAGTCTTCTTGGCATAACTAGGAAGAGGATTGTGGTCCAATAAGTCTCCGGACTATATATGAACCAAAAAAGAACGGGGTTTTAATCCATGTCCCAGCACTGATTATTTATCCTGCATGGTCCAGATCTATGGAATGCACTTCCAGGCTCGATGAAAATCATTTACAACCTTAAATTCATTTAAATTCAATACGAAGAAAGCATTTCTGCCAGAGTATATTGTTTGATCCATTCCCAGTGCTGATTAAATATTCAATATTATTTCCATAAATAGAGCGCCAGAAGTATTGTGCCATAAATGAGCTTTATACAAGACTCTATTATTATTATTTTTTAAACATTATTATTATGATAGCATCATTTTTTTTTTTTACTATTAATAATTATTGTTATCATTTTTTTCAAATTATAATGCCGATTGCACACGAGGCGTCATTACGATTGCGATTATTACCTGCGCTATTAAATCAAGCCTATATATGAAGGCAGTCTGCTCTTAGTTGTTATGATATTTCTTCTTTTTGTGTTATACTATATTTTTTGTACAAGTATGTTTATGTATTTTCATGTTTTGCACCAGTGCGTCTTGAGCATTTAATTTTTAATTGGATTTTGCTCTTTATAAATTCTATATATGATTATTATTATTATTACATTTCAGATTATTTTGATTTAATATGATTTTTAGTTAATGTTTATGTATTTCCATAAAACACCATATTAGGTGTACATAACTAACATGTAAGGTCCCATGAAATTATACATAGAAAAAAATGGGCCTTCATACAAGCATAACTTCAATAGATGTCCTCACCATTTATACACTGTCCATTTTAGATTTACTCTTTGAACAATTTCTCGTCAGGCAAATGAAGCCTCCTTTGCAGAGAGGTGGTTTTATACGCAATTATTTCTGTTTGCGTTTGGAAGAAAAAAAAAGGTTAGTATTTTATGACACATAGTATATACCACAGTTGATTTACACAAATTAAGAGTGGCGATCTGATCTTATAATCAATATTTGTATATTTTCCTCGCTGTATAGAGTGGGAATTCCTTCTCCGAATGGGGATTCAAGAACCCTTCGATAGAGGCGGATCAAAACAGGGCCATACGTCTAGGCCAGAAGATGAGATGTCTTAATTCATCTTCATTGGACCTTATAGCATGTTTGAGATCCAGGGATGCGAAGAGTCTTATGAGAGCTGCAGGAGGGGTAAGAGCTTTGATCTGCGTTCTGCAGGGGTTTATGACACTATCGTTGAAATGGAAGGGAGGGATGGGGTGCGATAAACCAGTCGGTAAAAATAAAGTTGAAGAAGAAAAAAAAAACCAAGGTCGTCAGATATGAAAATTTAGATATTTTATAAAGATTCAGCATGAGTTCCACAATGTCTATTTTTTTTGCAAAATTCCGACAATTTTATGTTTGGGTGTGGTGTCACACCCCACGCCCCTGGTTTTCTATGTACGAAATCAATTTTCGAATAAGTCTTGTTAATTGCACGTGCCCGTGCCCCCCCCCCCAAATTTCCAGGATCGGTTGAACTTTTTTAGACCCTTTTTTTTCCTCGATCGATTACATGCCCCCCCCCCCCCACATCAAACTCTGGCTACGTGCCTGCCAAGAATGCAAGGAAATGGCCGGCGGAATTCCCGAGGAAATCGATGTCGACACGATTGCCGTCCCTCCCCTTTCTAACGACAATGGATCCGTACCTGATATCCGTTAATTTCGTCCATCCATGCATGCATGGAATTCACAATTCTTCTTCGATTATTTTATGGGGATTTTTTTTCTTTTCTTAAATTGCCTACCAGATCTACGGACGATACCAAATTCACGTGGACGGTCTTTTCCTGGAAGACACACCCACCAACTTGTATCGGGCACGTGACTTCATCCGCTGTCCAATCATGGCCGGTTACAACAAAGATGAAGGCACTCTAACGCCATATTTTTCATACGGTCAGCGTTACCGGGGCCAACCTCACCATCCTCATATCAGCTTATGGGTAAAGTTGAGAAGTTTGGCACTTGATATTAAATAACAGGTTTTATGATATAGGACACTGCATGGTCATCAGCATGCAAAGGATAATGTTATAGCAACATAATCAGTAAAGGTTGCTGATGAAATATAGTGAAAATCACAGTGTGTGGGACTACATACACACATGGGATATTACACTTTGGTCCAAACAATAAATTGATTAGATGAATGTAAGTTATGTTTGGAATATGAATTTGATGTGGGCATTTCAAAAGCGATCCTATGTGAAATTGCTATTCTGTGGCACTGCCTTTAAAAATGAGAAAGCTCACAACTTATCTTTTCCGTTTACCTGAACCCGATCTTCTCATTAAAGACTGCTCAGAATCACGTGACTAGGATGATGTCGGGTATGGGGTTTACTGGAAGTATCCTACGTAGCGCAGCCTTGGAGATGTATACAAATTGTGCGATGTCGTCAGAACCTGACGGAGACTTTTTCCGTAGCTTTGTCGACGTTGAAACTGACGTCTACTACGCCTGCACAACGGATAAGGTTCTTCGAGCTCACGACAGCACTGGGAGAAAAATCTACAAATACGTCTTCACGCACGAGCCAACAAAGTTAGTTATGTAATAATCATCGTCACCTATCTACATCTTATCCTTTCTTCATCTCAGTCATCTTTAACTTAGCTTCGTCTTATCCATTTTTTCATCTCACCTTCATCTTTATCTCCATTTTATCCTCTTCTTCATCATATATTCATCTTTATGCTCATCTCATATATTCGATATAGAATTTTATGTTTTATATCTTTATTTTCATCTCCATCTTATCTTTATCTTATCGTTACTCCATGTTACCTGTATTTCTTGTTATCTTTATCTTCAATATATCTACATTACATTGATCTCAACTTCACCGTTATCCTACGTTTTCATCATGTTTTCTTTATCTTATCTTATCTTTTTATCAGCATCTTTACCTTGATCTTACGTAGGCCTATATTATCATCTTCATATTCATGTAATCTTCATCACCACTTCTTATATTACCCATCATCTCTCACCTCACCTCATCCATAATGGTTCATTGATCAGCTTTATTTCATGACATCAATTTCTTCATTTAACCTTTGTCTTTATCAAGGTCTTTATCTACCTCTTCAACTTATTTTCATATCATTTTCATTTCTTTTGTCTTAATCTTTATTTATGTCTTATTTTGATAACTCATTTTTCTTTCTTTCTCAACAATGACATTTGTATTCACCTTCACATTATCTTCACCTTATCTTTATCCTCAAATCTATTCTCGGAATAACAATATATAGATACATATATTTATATTTGTCTTATCTTTATCGTCATATCATTTCTTTTCTCAACAATGTCATTGTCTTCACCTTCAACAGTAATACTTAGCTTTATCTTATTTTCATTCAATCTTTTTCTTATTCTCATCTTACCTGATATCACTCTTCATCTTTTCTATTCTAGGAGTTTCTTCCAATTCAGAGACATCATCCCATCTACCCCCTGGTTAAAGGCGGGTCATGGAGAAGAACTGGCGTTTGTCTTCGGTTTTCCGTTTATTGATGAACTTTATCTTGTTCGTGGACACAACGTCACAGAAGAAGAAAAGGCCCTCTCCGTTCAGATGATGAGATACTGGACTAACTTTGCCAAGACAGGGTGAGTAACGTTAAAAATGATTGATAAGTTTAGGAGGAATGTAAGCTATATTGAACACCTTCTCAATAATGTTGCTGATGAATTAAACTGTACAATTAAAAAAAAATCTCCTAATTGTAATTTTAAAGCGTTGGTGTTCATTAGTGTTTAACATCTTATCAATACGGATGGGAATGGCAGCGAATATGCAGACTAACAACATGAAAGATGCATGCATTTGCCAATAGAATGTTGAATGTGCCAAGTGATTATCATTTTTGCTGGCGAAATCTCTAGATGTCCATGCATTACTCAGGATGATGGGGTAAAAATAAAATACGCCATCCCAGCGTTGCTTGTGATCATTAAGTTTGAATACAATTATCAGCTTGTCATTAGATGGGTGATCCAATCTCAAATAAAAGTTGAAATGCTGAGTTTAAGAAAACTGTTGTTGTAATTATAGCGCCATTATTCCAGTTCTTAAAGCCCCACTGTCCTACTTGTACCTTCTTGCTCCCTCTATATAGAAAACTTCCTCAATCGGTGCCTGTTGGTCCCCCATGATCCTCTTTTTCTTATGTTAGTTAAGAGCTGAGTTAATGAGATAGCCGCCTGTCAGTGACCTCGCTGTGTGGTCTAATCCCTTCTGACCCAGTAGTATTGACGGTCTTTAAGATACACCTAAATAACAACATAATCATCTTGACAAATACTATACGTTTCCCTTCTCTCTTGATGGGCTACTTGCAGAGATCCAAACAAGTCAGATCTGGACCATCCCCTGACTGACAGCATACCCCTTGGCCTCTATTCACTCCACAAGAACTGAGGCACAAAGAGTTATCTCCAGGGTTCAGAAACGGTAGAGCAGCCAGAGCCAAGCAATGTCATTTCTTGAATGTCTATCTGCCCCAACTCAAGACATGTGTTCGAAGTGTCTTTGGACGTTAAGTGAGTGTTCGTGTAAGTAAGTAATTGAGTGTAATAACAAGATCGCAACAACTTTCGAAAAACCAATCGAAGGCAATTTCAATTAGCCTTGTGCGTAACCTATTGAGATGTGTAAACAAGACAAAGACGTAGTACGTTATCTGGCCAAACACGATTTATGTTGAATATAGGTTATTGAGATTGTCCTTGAGTTGAAATTGTAATCGTGTTATAAGTGAATTTCCATGAATGCTCAGTGCTGGGGCATCAACGTTTTAAAAGTGGGAAGCAATGTGGTAATCTGAGACTGAGTAAAACTTTTGAGAGGCAAAGTTAATCTTCTTATACTTGTATAATTACTTTTAATGCAGAAGCTGAAAGGGGGAGGGAGTCATTCCTCATAATAGTCCTTCCCTTCCTGATGTCACTGTTTTAAAAAAAATGTAGTTCTCGTAAAAGAGACTCGTTGTCATATCAGTTAATCCAAAGAGATATCCTCCTTGGTTAATCGAACAGTGTCAATTACGTTGTATATCCCTTACTTCTAAATAATTGACACAATAAATTCACAGGATTTCCAGATCATTTCTCATTGTCACGGAAACTTAGGATTCTATTATAATTATTAAACAGTATTCAACACACACTGCTCAGTCAAGTAATATAGGAATTCAAATATTTATTATGTGTTTCTATTCAAGCTTGTATTATAGAACAAAAAATAATATAAAGAAAATAGACATTCAATTCATTCTGTCTGTATGATGGACATAGTTCGTCGCTGTTTTCACGAAGTGACGGTAGTGAAAAAAAATTGCATTCACTGTGCGTTACGATTTTCCTCACTACCGTCACTTCGTGAAAACAAGGACGAGTTTGTACAATCATGATCTCTTTCAAATTGGGCTCGCGAGAGCTTTTTAACAATCCCTCTGTAGTCCTCGCTTGGGACAATGACAGCATTCGTTGCCAAGGAAACGTGCCAATCGTCAACCAATCGTCTTCCTCTTCCCAACGGTCAGGGGTGGGTGCTCTCTCGAGCCGAAACTGGTCATGTGATCAGCTGGTACCTCTAGTCGCAGGTTTTACCGTGAAAATGGTAAAGGCTGTACAAAAACAATACCAACCTATTCATAACAATATTGCTCCTAAAAAAGTATCAACACTTCATGCATATCATTACAATGCGTAATTTCCAACTGTGTCGTGCATAAATTTGCATACTGTTTAATAATTGAAATAGGATAAGGGTAATTATCGATACAAGGTGAACAAGTTTGAAGAGTGGTGCAACCAAAATTTTCTTCAACGTAATACTTTCAAAACAAAAGAACTGATTTTTTAGTTCAGAACTTCCACACGTTCAGTTGTATTGCCTATCACGATAAAAGAAAAAATATATAAATTGCCAAGTCATACAAGAATCTAGCCACCGTTATTGACAACAAATTATCATAGGCTGATCAGTGTAAGTCCGTTCTTTCAAAGGCTCAACAAAGGATGTATTTTTTAAGAAACTTAAATGGTTTCATGTAGATAGGACTATTCTTACTTTGTTCTACAAATCCATTATAGAAAGTGTTATATTATGAAGAGTCCGAAGAAAGACTTAACCCTATATTACCCCCCCCCCAAATTCCAGCTCGTAACACACACAAAATCGGCCCCTATTGACTTTACACACCGGACTTAGGGGGGGGGGGGGGTGTTTTTAAAAAAGGAGGGAACATGCATACGCGTACCCTAAATAACACTGAGTGCGGGGGGGGGGGGGGGGTTAACCGGGCTATTTCAGACCAGGTTTTTACTGGGGGGGGGGGGTCAATTTGATCCCCCTCCCCTAAAATCTCGGCATTTTTTGCATGCATGTCAAGTGAAGTGTATAGAATACTATGGTAATTTCATTTTTTGAAAAACTCACTCATTTGCATATTTATGGTAATCTATGCAAAGGCCATAAAATTCACATTTTTACCCATAAATCATATATTATTCATGTTTAAGCATTCCTTTTCACTACATACGTTAGACTATTTGGAATAATACGACAAAAAAAATCGGAAGAGCCAGGTTATATGTTATCTCTTGTTTTTATAATTTCTTATGTATTTCATTGTCTTTTTTAACTTATGTATTTATTGTTGTTTGTTTTATTTCATTGCTAACTACAATTCAACTATTTTGACCCCAAAACAAACACCTAAACTTTAAACAAGACCAAATAACCAATGTTTTATCTCTTATTTCCATGTTTTGTACACAAATCGCAAAAATGAGCGATTTTCGGGCTGACATGCAAAGACAAAAGGTCACGTGACTTACTACAGGGGGGGGGTCAAATTGACCCCCCCCCCCCTCCAGTTAACATAGGGTTAAGAAAACTCTAGAGTATCACCAAACAAGCAGGGAAGATCACTGGTGAAATTCAAAATTTGAATTAAGCAAGCGAATCCAAAATAATGCTAGAAGTAAAACAAATTGTTAAAACGAAAATCATCCACTCTTTCCATACTATGTTGTTTTGTTTTTTCTGGTTAACGACTTCGTTCAATGTATTGTCGCACTCAACGTTTTCTAAATTCCTTCGTTCCCTTCTCTATCCGCAAATACAATCAGAATGCTACCTGAATATTACGTTTTTCTTTATTTCTGTAATGTTATAATCTTTCCGGGCCATCCCGTTCACACTTATTTTGTTTATAATAACGTTAGATAACTTCTGTACAGCAATATTCTGAAGGATTTCAAAGTACATGCTAGATATTATGCATGTAAACTTATTTTGATTTTTTGTATGTTTGTAAAATGTAAGCAAAACAAATTTCTAATATTGGACAATAAATTGAAATTAAAATTGAAACTGGAATGATAGACTCTTCTACGAAAGTTTCTTGTATAAATCATTTAAATACTTTTCAATAAAATAAACAATTTGTTACAATTTAGATCTGTGAAATCTTTTCTTTTCTGTCATTTTAAACATGAATATAATTGTATATAAACTGCAGTTTAGACTTGTTTTATATAATGGACAATATTAAATAAAACACTTACGCTATCTCGAAGAGTTATGTGTGTAATGCAATGCAGGACAACTGTTGCAACCTCGGGGAGATTGAGGCCTGGAGACTGGAAATCTGCTTCCGTAATTCTTGGAAGAATACATGTTGAAATAATAACTACTTGGTCCCACTTTCTCGCCTCTTCTTTAATCCCTCGTTCACCCAAAAGTTGCAAATAAATGCTTGCCATTAATGAGCTGGCTGCCTGCTTAAAAAAAAGGATCTGCTGTGTAGCAAGATCTTTGGTGCCGTGCCGATATACCTAACGCAGGGTGCGGTTCTAGCGATATGCAAATTACCGACGCTTGCTACCCAAACCACTGATCCAATGCAATGCTCCAAGTATCACACGTTGGTCAGAGGTTAATGGCAAATTGCGCAAACTCAAAGACTGGAGTGAATAATATTATTGTTTATTAATTTATTCACGAAAGCAAGATAAAGACTAACCAACTTTTCCTGGTTAAAAGATTGGCACTGTCTTCAGGGGCGTCTCCAAAGGGGGGTGTGGGGTGCGACACCCCTACCTGTCAGGATATTGTCAGTAAAATTGCGCTGCCGTCGGGAAAAAAAAGGAAAAGAAAAGAAAAGAAAGAAAGTAAAAGAAAGGAAAGCAAAGAGAAGAAAGAAAGAGAAATAAAGAAAAAAAGGAAGGAGAGGAAAGAAAGGAAAAGTAAGAAAAAAAAGAAAAGGAAAAAAAGAAGAAAAAAGAGAAGGGGAAACAAGAGAAACGGGGGATGAAAGAGAGGAGAGAGAGGGGAGGTAAGAGCCTGAGAGAGGAGGAGTGGGAGTAAAAGAGAGAGGGGGTTGTTGGGTGGAGTCGTCTCGTCGAGGGAGCAAGAAAGACACGAGTAAATATGTTGCTGTGTCGGGTCAGCTGTGTAGGTATTCTTGCTCGATCCTCGTGTACTATATCAATGCAGAAGTTTGAAGTCGGTGAGATGTATATTGTCGGTCAGCCGACAAGTTTTTTTCCCTACGAACTGTGACTTTTATCCGCTGTGACGACTTCGAGAGTGACTACAACTACAATACTTGTATTTTCTCGAAGTTTCACTTTCCTATAATATCAGCTAAATAAATCAGAGGTTTAACATTTTCGGGGAAACTAAATTCAAACAAGGACTAAGAGACAACAACGGTACGACGAATCATCTTCCTTTCTTTATATTTTGATGAAACGCCCAAAATTCCGCGCTTCACGCGGGAGGGGAAAACTTCATTTAGACGAGTCGAGAACGGTACAACGAATCATCGTCTTTCTCTAATAATTTAAGGAAACGTCTAAGCTTCCGCGCTTCGCGCTGAGGGAGGGAAAATAAATTCAGACAAATAAGGGTTAAGAGTCGCGTACGGTACAACGAATCGTCTTCTTTCTCTAATAATTTAATGAAACGTCAAAACTTCCACGCTTCGCGCGGGAGGGGGAAACTTCATTCCGACAAGGATTAAGAGTCGAGCACGGTTCAACGAATCGTCTGCTTTCTCTAATAACTTAAGGAAACGTCAAAGCTTCCGCGCTTCGCGCGAGAGGGGGAAACTGAATTCAGATAAATATAGGGCTTAATAAGAGTCGAAAACGGTGCAACGAATCGCCTTCTTTCTCTAATAATTTAATGAAACGTCAAAACTTCCGCGCGGGAGGGGAAACTAAATTCAGATGAGGATTAAGAGTCGAGAACAGTACAGCAAATCGTCTTCTTTTTATAATAATTTAATGAAACGTCAAAGCTTTCGCGCTTTGCGCTGGAGGGGGGGGGGGTAAACTTCATTTAGACAAGGATTAACAGTCGAGAACGGTACAAAAAATCGTCTTCTTTTCCTAATAATTTAAGGAAACGTCTAAGCCTCCGCGCTTCGCGCTGGAGGCCTATCACCCACGCGCGCTTTTCAAGTGATTCGCTTGCTCACTACCGCCCCTCCCTAAAATAAGATCCTAGCTCCGCGCCTGCATTAAAATATATAGCTATGATGCTGACTAAGTTGACGAAATAATTCGTATATTTATGTCGTCGAGGAAAATGATCATTTGCGCATACGCAAGTACTGTACTATAGATAGTCCATAGGAAAAACAATTTAGCCTTCGGCCCCAGGTTTATAGGGTTAAATTTGTAGATATTGGGACATTTAATTTTGTCGGTAATTGGTGGCTAGTTTTGTCGGTAATCGTTGGCCTCTACACCCCCCCCCCCCCCTCCCCACTGAAAAAGGTTTACCGACGCCCCTGACTGTCTTGTGACGCTCATCATTTCTCAATCCCTATCAAGCAAGGAGGGAATAAAACCAAAATAAATCTTGGGATATAATTAATTTCTTATTCTGGGTCTTTGACAGGGAATCGTCTGCAAATAGTGTCACTCGATGTGAACGTTTAGTAGATATGAACCATGTTCGTTTTAGTTAATATTTCTCCTCAGCCTCCATGGCGCGGGGTTGGATCGATAATGGAGGCCGGATTACACATCATGGAAGTTTGATTACGTAATATGGCAGAGTAAGTTTGACGACCACGTTGACCGTGCTTAAGATTTCTTTTAGATTCTAGATTTGCAATCAAAGCTAAAATATTATCTCGAGTGGGAAACGTTAAAGGTAAAGACCAGTTATGGTCATGCGATTGCATTGTGAAAGAAACGTTGTGGAATCGATCATAAAAGGTTGATCATCTAGCATCTAGCATCTGCAAGGTTCTGGAATCATCAAAATGAT